CTGATGTGCAGGGGCAGGAGGGGAGGTTCTTGGCAAAATCCACAGGACAGGGGTAGGTGCTCTGCAGGGAAGTCGAAGACTGGATTTCTAGTCCCACCCTGACTTGCTGTGGTACAACCTGGGCCTCTCTTTGGGCCACTGCCCCTCTGCGGGCCACAGTTTGTTTTGTTTTTTTGAGATAGAGTTTTGCTCTATTACCCAGTCCAGTACAATCTTGGCTCACTATAATCTCTGCCTCCCAGGCTCACGTGATCCTCCTGTCTCAGCCTCCCTAGTAGCTGGAACCACAGCCATGCACCACCATGCCCAGCTAACTTTTTGTATTTTTTTGTAGAGATCGGTTCTCACCTTGTTGCCCAGGCTGGTCTCAAACTCCTGGGCTCAAGCTATCCACCCACCTCAGCCTCCCAAAGTGCTGGGATTACAGTCATGAGCCACCATGCCCTGCCATTTCTTTATCTATAAACTCAGCCTCCCCACTGACTGCCCAGCCCTGCTCTGGTCTTCTGTAGGTTTGCTCTAACTCATCATGTAGCACTTTTTATGTATCAGGAGTCCAAAAGTGAGTGCAGTCCTCACATCGCTTATATCATACTCAAAGTATACTGACGCTAAAATATTGCATGAGTCAAGGGTGTTACTCTGAATAGAAACATTCATTCGGTGTTCTCTCGAGGATTTTATTGGTGAACAAAGGAGGCCAGGTCAGGGCCTAGGACACGTTAGGCCTGGGTGATCGTCATCTTAACAGATGAGGCTTCACGGTCACACAGCTCAGCCGGCACCCCTGCCCCTGCTGCCACTGAATGACCAGAGCCGGCCTCTCTTCGGGCAGGGAAAGAAGAGATGCTGAGCCAGCGCGACTACGATTCAGCTTCGCTGCAGGAAGTGCGGGCGTTGCTGCGGCGCCACGAGGCTTTTGAGAGTGACCTGGCGGCACACCAGGACCGCGTGGAGCACATCGCCGCGCTGGCCCAGGAGCTCAAGTAGGCAGGGCCTCTCAGGGGCCTCCCCCAATACCGCCTCAGCCCCGCCCTCATCCCCCACTGCCCTCCTCAAGACCCTAGACTCTCCCGAGTTCTGTAACCCCGCTGTGGCACCTAGGTCCTTCCCCTTCACCATCCGCTCCGACCCCTCCTGAAACCCCATCCCCATCTCCGGACCCCATTCTGATGCCCACACTCTTCCCACTGGCACTCGATCTGTTCCACTCTGTGGCCTGTCCTCTAACCTACCTGCTCCCTTCACCCGGCCCACTGCCCCAGACCCTCTGCATCAGCCTTGGCCTAGCCACCCCTTCTCACACAACCCTGCCCCTCCACCCAAGCACCTCCTGAACTGCAGCTAACGACTCGCGGGCGCCCACCTGCCCACATAAATGAGCCAGGACCCCCCTTTCTAGGAAAGCACCCAGCTTTATCCACCACCTGCCCTGGCTCCCTCCAACACCTTCACCCCTATGCGGGGCACAGGTTCCAGCCCTGGGAGTGTAGTTAGGACATCTGGGCTGGTGCTGGCCCCACACTCATCCCACTTTGCTCTCCTAGTGAGCTGGACTACCACGAGGCAGCCTCAGTGAACAGCCGCTGCCAGGCCATCTGCGACCAGTGGGACAACCTGGGTACCCTGACCCAGAAAAGGCGGGACGCACTAGAGGTGGGGCTGGGGGCGGGGGAGCCGGGGGGTGTGTAGGCAGGTGAGGCCAAGTCTGCCAGGCAGGCTGCTGACACACTACGCCACCCATCCCTAGCGGATGGAGAAGCTCCTGGAGACCATAGACCAGCTGCAGCTGGAGTTTGCCCGGCGGGCCGCGCCCTTCAACAACTGGCTGGACGGTGCCGTGGAGGACCTGCAAGACGTGTGGCTGGTACACTCTGTGGAGGAGACCCAGGTGGGTGCCAGGGTTGCAAGGGACAGATGGGATGACAGAAAAGCTGGCCTCAAATTCTGCCAGCCACAACTTTACGCTCCTGGGGCACAGGGATGGGAGGAAAACCCGTTTCCGAGTGCTGTGCTGGAAGACAGGAGGCCAGGGTTTTTGTGTCAGGACTGCCCAGGACCACTGGGTGGCCTGGGGCACACTGCTGCCCTTTCTGTTGCCTGTGGTTAGTGGGGACACCAGCTGATACTTCCTATCACCCCCAGAGCCTCCTGACAGCACATGATCAGTTCAAAGCAACATTGCCTGAGGCTGACCGAGAGCGAGGCGCCATCATGGGCATCCAGGGCGAGATCCAGAAGATCTGCCAGACCTATGGCCTGCGGCCCTGCTCCACCAACCCCTACATCACCCTCAGCCCGCAGGACATCAACACCAAGTGGGACATGGTCAGTGCCACCTGTAGCCTTCCTTCTGCCCCTTCCTGCACTCTGACCACCCTGAAACCTCGGGTGGCCCAAGATATGGAGAATAAAGTCCACCTTCAGATCTGGGGTCTGCCACAGACTCCACGTGGGACTAGATAAATCACCTTGCCTGTCTTGGTCTCATCTGTATATGATGAGACATTAACCGCAGCATTTTCCTGTCACAACTGGTGTGAAGTAGTATTAAGCCTGGTATGTGGACATCTTTTATAAAACCACCCGTATTAGTTATAAACGATGCCATCAGCCCCATTTTGCAGACAAGAAAACTGAAGCCCATATAGGTTATTGACTTGCCCAAGAGTTTTCTTGTTTATCTCAGACAAGTTGGCGCAAGGCAACAGGGGCTGAGGTTTGAGGGGCTAGAGCCCTTCTCCCCATAAAGCCATTTCCCAGCCACCAGAGCTAGCTTTGGCATAACTGCCCTCCTCCTAGGTCCGAAAGCTGGTGCCCAGCCGTGACCAGACACTGCAGGAGGAGCTGGCACGGCAGCAGGTAAACGAGAGGCTCCGGCGACAATTTGCAGCCCAGGCCAATGCCATTGGTCCCTGGATCCAGGCGAAGGTGGAGGTAAGGGCTGGGATAGTGTGGCCAACCTGGGGAAGAGGGGCCAGGGCTGGGCCACAGGGAGTCGGGAGCTCTCATGCTGCCTGGGTACCCCTGCAGGAGGTGGGACGGCTGGCAGCGGGGCTGGCTGGCTCTCTGGAGGAGCAAATGGCTGGGCTACGGCAGCAGGAGCAGAACATTATCAACTACAAGACTAACATTGACCGGCTGGAGGGTGACCACCAGCTGCTACAGGAGAGCCTGGTGTTCGACAATAAGCACACCGTCTATGGCATGGAGGTGGGATCACACCCTCAGCAGAGAGGGCAGGCAGCGCTGGCTCAGGGGGCCCAGGGAGATCACAGCTAAACAGGGCATGTGTGTCCCAGTAGGGTACCCAGTTCAGCTTAGCCAGGTCCCTTAAGACCAGCGACAGAGAGTGACCCTTCCAGAGTCACAAAGCAGTCCAAAGCCAGGCCAGGATTGGCCTAGCTGGTTAGCAGAAGACAGGAAGGACTGCTGGGGGGTTACTCAGTGGAGTCTCCAGATGGGGATGGAGGCCCAGTGAGGGGGAGGACTTGCCCAGGGTCATTCAGCAGACTGAGCATGGAGCTAGAGCCAATGGCCAGGCACTGGCCACCCACTGACAGTGGCCTATCCTCTGCCTGCCAGCACATCCGTGTGGGCTGGGAGCAGCTGCTCACCTCCATCGCCCGTACCATCAATGAAGTGGAGAACCAGGTACTGACCCGAGACGCCAAGGGCCTGAGCCAGGAGCAGCTCAATGAGTTCCGAGCATCCTTCAACCACTTTGACCGGGTCAGGAGCCTGGCCCTGTGGGGTAAGACACTTGGGGGCTGGAGGGGTCTGGAGACCAAGCCTGATACCCACTCATCCCCTACAGAAGCGTAATGGGATGATGGAGCCCGATGACTTCCGCGCTTGCCTCATCTCCATGGGCTACGACCTGGTGAGTACCCCTCCTCTGTGCTGATCACCCACTGCAAGCTCCCATCTTTACATACACTGCCCCCGGCACCTTCATCACATCCACACAGGGGCTAGCAAGGTTCACAGGGGTGAACTCACTTGGACCCAGTTCTGTATGGACCCAAAATCTGAGCTTGTAACATTTTCACCTGTAGAAAAACAGCATTACAGAAACGGGGGGCCCTGGGAAAAAAATCAGGACCAGCTTCCTGCTGTAGCTCTCTGGAGGGGCCTATGGCTGGGCTTTTTGCAGATTTTGCAAATTTGCAGATTTCAGCCTACCATAAAGGGCTTTGGTCTCTGGAGGAAGGGAACACCCTGTCACTGGGGCTCTGCAAGCCAAGGCTGGGCAGTCCCCAGGAGGAGACCCCAGGAGCCCTCCTGGCTTTAGTGCTCATGGGCATAATGCCTGGCCTCTATCTCTGCAGGGGGAAGTGGAGTTTGCTCGCATCATGACCATGGTGGACCCCAATGCAGCCGGGGTGGTGACCTTCCAGGCCTTCATAGACTTCATGACCCGAGAGACAGCCGAGACTGACACAGCTGAGCAAGTTGTGGCCTCCTTCAAGATCCTGGCAGGAGACAAGGTAAGTTCCAGGCAGCGGAGGGGCTGGTGGGCTGGGGCAAGGCATGGGACCCGGGGGCCCTCAATGCCTCTTCTCCCCAGAGCTACATCACCCCTGAGGAGTTGCGGCGTGAGCTCCCCGCCGAGCAGGCCGAGTACTGCATCCGCCGTATGGTGCCCTACAAGGGATCCGGAGCCCCGGCTGGAGCCCTGGACTACGTGGCCTTCTCCAGTGCCCTCTATGGGGAGAGCGACCTCTAACCCCAACCACTGAGGTGTTCTGTGCAAGATGGAGAGAGGGTGCACCCTGTGGTTGTTGATCCCATCAGTCCCTCAGGGCAAGGGCCTGAGAGAGCGACCAGCCAAGTGCTTCTGAATAAAGATCCCTCCATGGGCCTCTCCCCATCTCCTTTTGGTTCCTGAAGCAGAAGCCGGGCCCTCGGGCTCCTGGGCAGAACCAGCTATCCCACCTTGACCCTCCAGAAGTCCCTGCCATCCCTCCTCACCTTGGGAACTGAGCATCCATACCACATTGGGGACCAGGACGCCTCTTTATTGCTGTTAGAAAAGGGTGGTTCAAGTTTCCTAGACGTGGAGGGGAGACACTATCCCTAAATCCAAGGGAACCAGAAAATGTACAGTATCAGGAAAGCGGGGGCAGGACAGAGCTGGGGTAAGATTAGAACATTTTCTTCCTGCTCATTACCTGAGCCCAGAGTTCTTGCCCCAGCCTCAACTGCCAAAACCACCCTTCACCCCGAGAGCTTCACCCTGAGCTACCACAATTCACAAAGGTGCAAGTGCAGAACTTCAGGTTGGGAGTGGGGTGCAGGGAAGCAGGGGCTGTGCCCAGCCCAGTGCCCTCTGCTCACCCTGAGGTACCCAGTGCCTGTCCCTCAGCCAGCTGTACCTCCCAAGGAGGGGCCTGGACACATGTCAGGCTGGGGCAGCAGCAACTCTGATCAGCACCAGGTCCTGAGCGGGGGCCCTCCTCAGTCCACCACCGCCGAGCTGGCCATGGTGTTCACGCCACAGGCCCCAGACCCGCGATGCAAGTAGTAGTAACCCTGGGGGAGAGTGGGAGCTGGTGAGGGCACCAGGGTAGGATGGCAGCCTGGAGGGCCAAGGGACAAGCCTGCAAGACTCACCTTCTCACCCCAGTCAGTGCCCCAGCTGTTCTTGATGGCCCAGAAGGGAACGTCAGAGCCTGGGGTGCAGTGCAGAGCAGAAGGATCAGGGCCCTGAATTCTCTAGGCAGAGCCTCAATCACTTTGCACCCTTCAAATATTTTCACTGGGCCTACTGTGTGATAGGGACTAGGAAAAGAGCAGAAAACGCGGGCCCCACCTACCAGCCTCAGGAAGACCTGGTCCAGCCCTGGGGCAAGGAGGAAGCACCCACCCACCCACCTCTTGCAGGGTATTGGGCCGTCAATATTCAACCTACCACAGCTCAGCTTCCCTTCCATAAAGGACAGATGATGCCCACCTGGCACCACGGCCCAGATAGCAGGTAAAGGATAGGGTTTGTAGGCATTCCCCCGATTTCCCCTCTAGAGGACCTGAGATGCTGTGGTCCCTCCCCTGCCTGTGGCCTGGCTGGATGCAGGACAGGCAGTAGAACTCACGGTTGCCATAGCCCACAAGCAATACCGCATGATCGATGAGCCAAGGGCTGCAGAGGGGCCGGAGAGGGCGGGAGATCCCGTGGCGGTAAAACTGGAGGTGAAGGAGGAGTAGGGGATCGACTCCAAGAAGAGGTTGAGGAGGTCAACAAGAGATGGGGCGGGGGCAGTGGGGCGAGGGCCTCACCTACCTGCATGCCAAAGGCATTGATGGCAACAGAGATTGGGCCTCTCTTGGCCAGCCAGGCTGCCAGCTCTGAGAAAAGAAGGGGTGACATCAGAGGGCACCCAGGTCCCAGCCCCACCTGGCCTCGCCTCACTCTGCCCCTCACTCACTCTGCTCATTCTGGCTCAGCTCCACAGAGTCATTGATGTAGACCTTGGCCTTCTCTGGTGAGAAGTTGCAGGCCTGCATGTGGCCCCGGTAGCTATAGTCATCCTCTGTCTCCAGCCCTCCTAGGGAACAGTGGGGATGGGTAGAGAAGGACAGGCTCCCATTTGCCATTGACAGCCAGAAGTGGACTAAGCCCCCTACACAAGGTCTCACATTCCTCGTTTACCCCAAGCCACAGGCCATCCCCTCCGAAGAATGTCTTCATTCTAGAAATAACACATCTGAGGCTGGGAGAGGTAGGGAGGAGGGAGCAGCAGCCAGCAAGAAAAGTGGCAGAGACAGAACTCAATTCCAACTTCTGACTCCTCACCAAGGGCTTAACCTAGCAGTCTTTTACCCAGGCTGGAATACAGTGGCACAAACACGCCTCACTGCAGCCTCAACTTCCTGGGCTCAGGCGATCCTCCTGCCTCAGCCTCCCAAGTAGCTGAGACTACAGATGCAAGCCACCATGCCCAGCTAATGTCTTTAGTTTTTTGTAGAGATAGTTTTTGCTATGTTGCCCAAGCTGGTGCTGAACTTCTAGCCTTAAGTGATCTTCCCACCTTGGCCTCCCAAAGTGCTGGAAATACAGGCATGAGCCATCGTGTCTAGCTGGATCAGCATTAAGACTTGAACCCAGTGCTGTGTGTTTCTCAGGCTCATGTCTCCCCGCTTCATAAACTAACTTCTTGCAGAGGGAGAAGTGGCTCCTGTTGCCCCTCCTGACCCCATGAATGCATACCCAAATTCTTTATGGCTGAGTAGGCACTGGAGGGCAAGCCACCCATGCAGGCCTTGTCAATCTTGTCACAGTCCAAGAGCTCTAGGAGACAGAAGGCTGGTCCCAAGAAGCCCTCCTGAGGGGCTAGGCTGGGGACACATGGGTAGAGCGAGATGCTCACCCTGCTCAGAGAGGGAGAGCAGGGTCCCCTGGTTCAGAAACCACTGGCCCTCCACGTTGCCTGTGACTGAGAAGGCCCAGCAGGAGCCACACATGCCCTACGAGAGATGGGTAGAGTCAGAGCTGGATCCCCGCACCAGCCCCAGTGCTGTGCCCATGTCCCGCCCTCACTTCTAGGAGTCCAACCTGGTCCTTGACTTTTGTGACAGCCCCCTTGCTCCTCCAGTCCCATTCAGGTGGGGCAAGGTCACCCACAGACTTGGCTTGTTTCATCTTCTTGCCAGGTTCTCTCAGGAGAGGATTCAGGTAGGTAGTACGGAACTCCTCCTCTGTGGGCAAAGGTGGACAGGGCAGGGGGAAGAAGAGTGTTCTAAGCCAGACCTGACCAGAAGCCTTAGGAGCAAGGCCCTATCTCTTCTTGGCTCCATGAGGACCCTGGCCACTCCTCCTACCTGTGAGATCACTGAACTTGGTGACTCCATACTGAGCTGTACCTTGGTCCAGAGCCTGGATCTTCTGGGCTCGCACCATGTTATGGACAAAGACGGACAGGCGCCACTGGGCTTCTGAAGACCAAGGAGCAGAAGAGGAGGGGCTCCACCCCAGGCAAATAAAAAAAGAGGCAATTGGGGATAGCAGGCAGGGGTTTCCCTGGGGAGCAGGTAGGGGTGGGGGCCAGATGTGCAAGTGATGGAGTGGGAGGTCTCATCAACTTTTGGGGCCAAACTGAAGTGATGACTTCCCAGGTGCAAAAGCAATAAATGGGGTCTAGAGGACAGCACCCAAAAGAGGTGGTGGGGAAAGGCCATGTTGTCAAGGACTCTCCAGCACAAAAAACCTGGCCTCTGCCCCCATCCCACCCTGCCCAGAATGATGATGACCCATGGCTGCTTTTTTTTTTTTTTAAATACAGTTTTCCCTCTTGTCACCCATGCTGGAGTGGAGTGGTGCAATCTCAGTTCACTGCAACCTCTGCCTCCAAAATTCAAGCGATTCTCCTGCCTCAGCCTCCTGAGTAACTGGGACACAGGCATGTGCCACTATGCCCAGCTGATTTTTGTGGGGTTTTTTTTTAGTAGAGATGGGGTTTCACCACGTTTACCAGGGTGATCTTGAACTCCTGACCTCAGGTGATCTGCCCACCTTGGCCTCCCAAAGTGCTGGGATTACAAATGTGAGCCATTGCGCCCAGTCAAGACCCATGGCTTCTAACTGGGCAGATGAGGGGGAGAAGGGACCAGGTACTCAGAGTGGCTGCCCAGGCCAGGAAGGCTAAAGGAGAGCTCAGGAATTACAGGGTCCTGGAACAGGTGCACTGCTTCTCATCTTTCCCCTCCCGCAAAGTGCCAAGTTGGGGAGAAAGTCCTGTTCTGATTGTAACAGGTACAGCCAAGGCTGAGTCCTCACCTTCCTTTGACTCATATGTCCGGTTATAGGTAATGACAAAGTTCCTGAAGATTGAAGCCATCTTCACAGCCAAGTCCTGGATAGGCAGACCGATCTTTAGCCCGACTAGGGAAACCCACTCCAGGAGGAAAGGAGAAGAAGGGCAATGAGGCAGCAGCTGGCTCCCCAAGCTGCAGGCTCCTCACCTGGGGCAGGGGATCCTCATTCAACAGTGAAAAGACTGGGCTGAAAGTTTCGTTTCTATTGTCTAGACGGGGTTGGGACAGAGAAGAAATTGTGCCTGAGCCCTGAGTGAAGGCTGACTTGGGCTCCCCAGCAGCCTGGGCTCTCTCAGCACCTGGAACCTTGGTGTCCACCAGGCCACAGTCTTTCCGCAGCAGGACGTGTTTTCCAAGCTCATCTAGGACTTCGAAGCTGCAGAGCTGGAGGGAGAGAAAGAAGTTGCCCCGGGGGCCTGGATGGGAGCAAGGTCTGGACAAGGTGGAGCTGGAGGCTCCTCAGATGAGGGGCGCTCCTAAGGCAATCACCCCTACAGTGGACAGAGACACGACCTGTACCGGGTCATCCGCCACCCGCTTCAGAGCATCTTGGTTTCTGTCCCTTGAGGCCTGGGAAGGGGTTCAGGATGGGGCAGCAGCTGCCTCAGATCCCTGCGTCTTGACCTGAACTGTCATCATCCAACTGCTCCCTTACTCGGCCTGGGGGCGGGGAACGCCTAGAGCCCCATCGCTCACCAGGGTTTTCTTGGACACGGGGAGCTGGCACACCGTGGGGTCGTTGCAGGGTGGCTCCATCAGGGTTGCCTCCAGGGAGTACAGCGACCCCTGGCCCGCCTGGAGAGAGGAGCGGGTGAGGCGCCCACGGCCCCGCCCGTGCCGCGATGCCCCTTCCCCATCGCCAGAGATCAGTTCCTCCAGAGGACAGGCCCCATCCCAAGGTTAGGCCAAAGCTCCCAACCGTTGTACCTCGGCCCGGCGCCCCCGCCCCCGGCGCGTCCTCACCCGGTGGACACGGCCGCGCACAGTGCCCAGCACGACCCGCGTCCCCGCAGCCCGGCCGCGGTTGAACATCTCCAGCGCGAAGAGGGCGGGTGCCCGCAGCTCCGGGGACGGCGGCACCCAGGCCTGAGCGCTGGCGGCTCGGGGCTGGGCTGGGGCGGCCGCCGCGCCCGGGAGCAGCCCCAGCAGCGACAGCAGCTGCAGCCAGGGCGCCATGGCGAGGGCGAAGCCAGCAGCCCGGATGCGCACACCGACGGACAAGCCACCAACCGACCCGCGACCCAGCCCGCAGCCAGCCGGGTCTGCGTCCTCCCTCCTCCTTCCCGCGGGCGCTCCGGCCAATGGGGGCAGGTCTGGGACGCCTGCGCGCTCGCTTGTTTACAAGAGGCACGTGGGTCGCGCGGGGTCTGCGGATCAGGAGGCCACTGGCCTGAGGCTAAGCTAGTTACTAACCTCTATCGCGCTCTTGTTATGTGTTAGGCATGATATGCCAGCTCCCTTTATTCGGCGTAGCAATATCTGAAGTAGGTCGTACAGTCAAGAAAACAAGGCTTGGAGAGATTTAGTGGCGTGGCCCTGCGCAGTGGCTCACGCCTGTAATTCCAGCCCTTTAGGAGGCCAAGGCAGGTGGATCATCTAAGGTCAAGAGTTCGAGACCAGCATGGCTAACATGGCGAAACCCCGTCCCTGCTGAAAATATAAAAATTAGCTGGGTGTGGTGGCAGGAACCTGTAATTCCAGCTACTCAGGAGGCAGAGGCAGGAGAATCACCTGAACCCAGGAGGCTTTGCAATGAGCCAGTATTGCGCCGCTGCACTCCAGCCTGAGCGACAGAGTGAGACTCCATCTCAAAAAAAGAAAGAAAGAAAAAGATGAGTCAGAGGGAGGGAGCAAAGAAAAGAAAGAAAAAGATGTGAGTGGTTGGCTGGGCACGGTGGCTCACAACTGTAATCCTACCACTCTGGGAGGCTGAGGCAGGTGGATCACCTGAGGACAGGAGTTCCAGACCAGCCTGGCCAACATGGTGAAACACCATCTCTACTAAAAATACAAAATTAGTTGGGTGTGGTGGTGGGCGCTCGTAATCCCAGCTACTCAGGAGGCAGAGGCAGGAGAATCACTTGAACCCACAAGACAGAGGTTACAGTGAGCTGAGATCGAGTCATTGCATTCCAGCCTGGCAACAAGAGCAAAGCTCCTTTTCCAAAAAAAAAAAAAAAAAAAAAAAAAGAGAGAGAGAAAGCAGACAGTTGGATTCTGAGCCTGGGTTTGCAGCTTGATCGCCTCTTTCAGCCCCTGTTCTCAACAGCAAAATGGCCTGTAATATTCCAAGTACTGGCAGTGTCTCAGGCAATTGTGAGGCTCAAATGCAATCATGCAAGCATTCAGTAACCACTAAGGCAAGCTACACAGGGTTGGGACTATTCCTTCAAGCAGTCACCTGCTGTGTTCCAGGGCCTACCAAGGGAAAGCATGCACAGACGCATAGTGCTACATTGTTGGAGCTCACAGTCTAATGTGAAAAAGGACAGATGAGAAAAACAACATTTTCCTGCAAGGTGTTCCCACCTAGGAAAGAGGAAACAGGGAGAAGAAACTTTGAGGGAATTTGGCCCTGGGTGCAGTGGCTCACACTTGTAATACCAACACTTTGGAAGGCTGAGGCGGGTGAATCACCTGAGGTCAGGAGTTCGAGACCAGCCTAGCTAATGTGAAACCCTACCGCTATTAAAAATCCAAAATTTAGAAAGAAGAAAAAAACAAACAAAAAGATAAAAAGATAAAAAAAAGAAAAAAAAAAAAACAAAACAACAAAAAAATAAAAATACAAAATTTAGTTGGGCGTGGTGGTAAGTGCCTGTAATCCCAGCTACTCGGGAAGCTGAGGCAGGAAAATCACATGAACCCGGGAGGCAGAGGTTGCAGTGAGCAGAAACTGTGCCACTCAACTCCAGCCTGGGCAACAGAGTGAGACTCCACCTCAAAAAAAAAAATTGAAACTGCCTTTGCAAAATTATGACAGTAAGAGAAATCTGACATGGCTGACTGCATCTTGCTTTTTAGCCTCACGCACTGGCTGTCTTCACTCATTCCTGGGCATGGGGCAAGCTAACTTTTGGCAAAATTTAGTTCATACTTTAAATGATAATACCCCTCCCCAAAACTAAACCGTCCTTGTAAAACTAATGAAGGCCACCAAGTTAGAAGGATGAGAGGGGCCTGAATTCTGCAAAGATGTAGCTATAGTGTTTTTTTTTTTTTTCTTTGAGACAGAGTCTTGCTCTGTCGCCATGTAGCAGAAGCTGCCGTGGAAAACGGATCTCTCGGACACTGAAAACAGGAGGAAGGAGTTTATTCGGCCGGGAGCAAGGTGGCATAGTTGCCTAACAGCCAAGCTCGCCTAACAAAGGAAGATTCCTTCTTTATATAGGCTTATACTTTAGGTGTTACAGGTGGAAGAATCTTAGGTTTATAGCTTAACATATGAAAAGGGTTTCAGTTTACAGTCTTAGGAATTACATATGAAAAGGATCTCGGTTTACAGTCTCAGGAATTACATAGGAAAAGGGCTTCGGTTTACAGTTTTAGGAATGAAAAGGGGAAGTTTACCGTCTTAGGAAAAAGGGGAATTTGATCTGAGATGCCTGGGTCTCCCTCTTCAGCCAGGCACCAGGCTGGAGTGCATGGCGCAATCTCAGCTCACTGCAACTTCTGTCTCCCAGGTCCAAGCATTTCTCCTGCCTCAGCCTCCCAAGTAGCTGGAACTACAAGCGTGCACCACCAAGCCCAGCTAATTTTTGTATTTTAGTAGAGACAGGTTTTCACCATGTTGGCCAGATGGTCTCGATCTCTTGACCTCGTGATTCTCCCGCCTCGGGCTCCCAAAGTGCTGGGATTACAGGCGTGAGCCACTGCGCCCCCCAGATGTAGGCATAAAGGACTACCAACCATTGTTCTGGAAGTTACAAGATTTGTAAATTCCCCAGTTACTCCTGTAAATAACATCACTATTGCGGAACCTAAGATTGGCCTTTTGAGCTATCTCTTCCAGGCTTTTGCATTTCTGACTATGGAATGGCCCCACCCTGATGTGTGTGACTCAACCAGTACTGTGCCCGCCCCCCCCCCCGCCCAAGCAGACTCACTGCAAAAGGGCCATTTTCCACACTACTGTGATTTCAGACGCAAGCAATCAGTAGCACCCATATCCTAGCCCCATGCTCACCCAACTATCTTTGAAAAACTCTAACCTCTGAGCCTTCAGTGAGATTGATGTAATAACTCTGTCTCCCGTGTGGCATGGCAGGTCTTGTGTCAATTAAACTCTTTCTTTACGGCAATGCTATGGTCTCTGAATTCATTGTTTGTGCAGTGGGTAGGAAGAATCCATCCGGGATTATAAGATCATCTAGTTCAAACCGGAATTGCTACAGCAGCAGAGGACTAGAGAGACAAAGTGACATTCCAGCTACTCAGAAATTAGTGCTGGAGCCAGAGAGGAGCCAACTCAATGCTCCCAGTTGCCAGCTGAGGTCTGAGAGGAGAGGACCTGAGAGATTCCAGCAGATACTAGTCTCTCCTTGATTATGCTCTTCCCTGTGTAAATTAAAAATAAAATCCTAATCCCCTCCAACCATCTGAATGACCCTTTCTCTCAGCAAAAAGCATTCTAAAGTTAACCTCAAGAACTATCGTAGTTCAGGCCATAATGGGAAGTGAGAGTTGAGCATGTCTCATCATATTTTCTTCCCTGTGGAATTCAGGGACAACTGACCAGAATTAACATTAAAACTGAGATTTTAGGCTGGGCATGGTGGCTCATGCCCATAATCCCAACCCTTTGGGAGATGGAGGTAGGAAGATCACTTGAACCCAGGAGTTTGAGACCAGCGCAGGCAACATGGTGAAACTCCAACTCTATAAAAATACAAACACTGGCAGGCACGGTGGCTCAAGCCTATAATCCCAGCACTTTGGGAGGCCGAGGCGGGTGGATCACGAGGTCAAGAGATCGAGACCATCCTGGTCAACATGGTGAAACCCTGTCTCTACTAAAAATACAAAAAATTAGCTGGGCATGGTGGCGCGCGCCTGTAGTCCCAGCTACTCGGGAGGCTGAGGCAGGAGAATTGCTTGAACCCAGGAGGCGGAGGTTGTGGTGAACCGAGATCGCGCCATTGCACTCCAGCCTGGGTAAGAAGAGTGAAACTCCATCTAAAAAAAAAAGAAAGAAAGAAAATACAAACATTATCCAGGCATAACAGTGTGCACTATATTCTCAGCTACCTGGGAGTCTGAGGTGGGAGGATCTCTTAATCACAGGAGGTTGAGGCTGCAGTGAGCCATAATCATGCCACTGCACTACAGCCTGGGTGACAGAGCAAAACCCTGTTCTGGGAAAAAAAAAAAAGCCAGAGATCTTAAGACTTTCTTGCAATACATTCAAGAACGTAGTAATAAAACACCAAATTCAGCCAGGCATGGTGGCTCATGCCTGTACTCCTAGCACTTTGGGAGGCCAAGGTGGGCAGATCACCTGAGGTCAGGGGTTCAAGACCGGCCTGGCCAACATGGCAAAACTCAACTCTAATAAAAATACAAAAATTGGCCGGTGCAGTGGCTCAATCCTGTAATCCCAGCATTTTGGGAGGCCAATGCAGGCGGATCACCTGAGGTCAGGAGTTTGAGACCAGCCTGGCCAAAATGCCAAAACCTTGTCTCTACTAAAAATACAAAATTAGCCAGGCATGGTAATGCATGCCTGTAGTCCCAGCTACTCAGGAGGCAGAGGCAGGAGAATTGTCTGAACCCGGGAGGCGGAGGTTGCCGTGAGCCAAGATTGTGCTTTTGCATTCTAGCCTGGGGGACAAGAGTGAAACTCCGTCTTTAAAAAAATACAAGGGACAGGACAAGGTGGCTCACACCTGTAATCCCAGCACTTTGGGAGGCCGAGACAGGTGGATCAAGAGGTCAGGAGTTCAAGACCAGCCTGGTCAAGATGGTGAAACCCTGTCTCTACTAAAACTACAAAAATTCGCCAGGCGCTGTGGCAGGTGCCTGTAATCCCAGCTACTCAGGAGGCTGAGGCAGGAACATCGCTTGAACCTCCGTGGCGGAGGTGGCAGTGAGCCGAGATCGCGCCACTGCACTCCAGCCTGGACAACAGAGTGAGACTCTGTCATAACAACAACAGAAAAATAAAAAATTAGCCAGGCGTGGTGGCGCATGCCTGTAATCCCAGCTACTTGGGAGGCTAAGGCTTGAACCCAGGAGGCAGAGGTCACAGTGAGCCAGGATCGCCTGGCCAACATGGCAAAACCCCAGCAAAGCCCTGTCTCTACTAATAATACGAAAATTA